GTAATATTCAATTTTAAAAATAGATAATCCTTTTTCTATACTAACAATATTATTTAGTTTTGTTATATTTACACCATTAGTCGATCGTTTGTCAATCATCTTAGTCGTTATATTTTAGTCTGGTTTAAAATTAATGTTATAAGTAATTGCTGCCGTGTAGTGTTTATAATTTATAATATTTTTAAAATGCATTATAAAACATAATAGTTTAAAATAAAATAATGGTAGATCCAGATACATAAGACTTAAATACAAAGATGATAAAGGATACACATATTAGGAAGATTGACAATGCCAAATGAATTTTACTGTTCGTCATGCATCCTGGAAAGCTGAGCAAATTTAATAATTCAATGTTCTATTCTACGTGGTTGTTTGGTGTATACTGTATACATACTTACTGTAGTAACTATATCTATAGCGGAATTATGTAATTAAGTAATTTTTAGTTTGTTTATATTTTAAATATTATTTTCTTTTTAGTTGTTATGCAAAAAGTATAGTGTTTAATAATAATAGATCTAAAGTTATTCTGATGACAGTACCTACATAATTAAAAAAATATTTGTAATCAACGAGCAAGCTGAACAAATTTCTCTCCAGGTCATTAATAATATGTAAGTATACTAATTTTAAATATATGCACATAGTAAGAAACACAATTGGAAAGTATTATTGTATGATATTTTTTTTAAAATTGTTTTCTTACATACAATTTTGTCTCTCGAAAATGTGGTTACCTATGAAAATATGGACATTACATGCTCTTTTTGTATTTAAGATGATGTTAAGCTTTAAGGTACGGTTTGTTTTCTTTATCTGACCAACATTCAACAAAGACAAAATGCATTCATTTAAAATCAGTTTTTTAATGTTTTTGAGTAATCTTGGGTGAAATCACCCATCACAAAAATTTGAATGTAGGCACAATAGTACTTTTGAGCGTAGACTACGATTTGTCTAAAAATTGTCACAAAAGAATTCAATATCCATTTAAATTTAAATTTAATTCTAAGCGGAGCGTTGAATGAATTGATTTTAAAATGATGTGTTTTTTTATACTTATTTATTTTTTGTGTCTATCATCACGGTTTTGGACAGTAAAAGTGTTTCGATTTTCTCCAACAGTAACTTTTATGGTAGAAAAGTGAATCTAGTTGGTGTATTCGGGAGATCAAAATTTTAGGAAAAATGGGAATTTTTACGCAAAACCATTTTTCGAAAATTCTATTTTGGTTTTTACTTTTTAGTGTAGGTAACTCATTTTTTTAACAAAAATGACCGTAGATACATAACGTTTTCGCCGAATATTTGCGTTAGCATTTTTATACACCATACAATTTTTAAAATATTGATTTGCGTTGAACTATTTATAGGCATATGAAATTTTCGATTATTATTTGTTTTTTTTAAACCCTAGTCGATAAAAAAATATTTGCTAGATTTTTAACGTGCCATATACATAAACTAGATATTTGTGTTTATGTATAGGCTATAACGTTACCTCACTATCTATTCAGTATTCACTAGTCACTATTGTTTAGTAATTTAATATTACATATATTAATTTGTAATCTATGTACATCAATACATGTCATGAGTAGGTGAGTAGTATTGTTAATAATGGTAAATCAGTATATTATACATATAATGAATTAATCGATCAATGTAAGTTTCCAGTTGACAGTTCCACTTCGCCATGGGCGTAGGTAGGAAATATTTTCGGAGGGGGTTTTTGTCTAAATCCTAAATAATATGCGAGTTAATAATATTCTCGAACAAATTCACAAAAAGCTCAAGATTGTTTTATTTAATTTCGGGTTTGTTTGAACACCCAACCCCCCCCCCTTACCTACGCCCATGCACACCACATCCTTGTCATAGTAATTGGTGTTATACTGTTATAGCTATAAACCAGGCCTGTGCACGGTCAAACTGTATGGGCGCCACCCGGGTACGTACATTCCTCGGAGAGTATAGAACTAAAAATACTTTGACACATATTTAATTTTTCATGGTGTAGTCGATGTAACTATTTAAGTATTTAACATCAAATTCAAATGCTTAACTATTTATATATTATAACTTCGAAATCGACCGAGCGAAAGAAACTCAAAAATTGTAATTTTATACTATCATAATATCACCAATGATCGAAACAATATCTATGTATCATTCTATTTGAGCATATTATATTGACGTAGGGGGAATCAATGGATTTATGTATTATACCAAAATAAATATACTGCCTTGGAAAAAACATATATTCGAATTTAAGATCATTTTATCAATATTTTTAAAGTTTTTATTTAATTTAAATCTTTAATATATAACCAAAATAATGTTGAATTAAAAATTATTTAACATTTTGATCATATTAATGTGGTTGTTGACTGTTACCACGCGCATGTTTTTCCAAGAGACACTTCTCGATTATTACCGATTAAATTTATTTTCCTGTTATAAATTTTATTAATGTACAGATATTCACTGTGTAAGATATTATCAATACGGTCCACAGGAATTTAAATTTAAATAAAATATATTCATACAAATAATTTTATTTTTTAATGCATATTTTGTACATTTTAGTGCATGTTTGGTGATTTTTTAGAGCTACAATTATAGTCCTCTGCCCTATACTTATTATCATACTCCCCAAACCCAATATATTATCTATATTATGGTATTATTTATATTATAAAAAATCGAAAATGAATAAATAAATATTTAAATAAATCATTGAATAATTGCAATACTTGTTCCCCGAACCTCTCACAAAGCAGTGTCCAAAGCGTCGATGTAGCGGCTGGCTGCCTACCGCCGCCGTTGAGCGTCGCTGTCGCTAACCTGTTCCCCGAAATGTAATAAATTTACAAAAATTCACGACGCGCGACGACACTGACCTGTCCTCTCCAACAACGGCCTACGACCGGACACCACCTCCGATGACAATACATTGACTCTTTTCGCGAGTTAACGACCGCTGACTCGGTTACGTTTTCCAGTCACGTTTTCCGGACTTCTTTTTCACCACACCACAACTTCGTGGAAGTTTTTCACCGGTCCATTTTTGTTTTTTCACCAATCTCATGAAGTTTTTCGATAACCATTATTCAACATAATGATGGGCTAAGCGTAACGGCGTGGGTCCGTGGCGGCCGAAGCGACCTAGCAACATCTGCTTCAGCTCAAGATATCGTTGTCGTCGTTTTGTAATGTATACTCTTCCTTTGCCCCCCCCCCCCCCGCAACACAAATGTAATAATCTCCGTTTTTTTATTCCTTTCTCAATATTTCTCCGGGTTTTCTCTAAATATATTCAAACATATAGCAAAATCTGTGCTTTGTACGTAATTAAAGTCAATGACAAACAAAAGACGCCCTAGGCAGATTTTGACTGGTAACTCTATGATGAAAGTTACAAGATTCGTAATAATTGGATCCTATGGGCTATGGCGTCATGTTCGTAATACATAACATTATTTAAGTTTATCTTATTAAAAAATTCGAAGCGACACAAAATTTAATACATTCATTTTGTAATATCTTTTTTCCTGTACTTTCCATGTGCCCAAAATTCATATTATTCTTTTTCCGGTGCACCTGCCACGCGTGAAATTGTATACACACTAAATTGTAAAAACTATTATTCTCAAAAATGACCATCATTCTTATGCACTTTATTGCACATGTAAAATATAAAACACATGATTACCTAAAACTAAATTACAAATCTTATTATTCAAATATTATCTAAATCGTTTTATAAATCAAGTACTTACTAAAAACACTTGTTTTGTGTTAATTAGACTTTTGCATCACAATAAAAATTTATATTAAATCATGTACTTTAATCTATCTTAAATATGTTATAACTATTGAATGTTTATTTGTTTGTCCTCTATAGACTCGGTGGACCGTTTTTAATAAAAGTGATATCAATAGATTTCTTGATATGTGGTGGTTGGGGGGGGGGGATTTATAATTCATTACCCAAACCCTTATAGGTTGCTATTGAGTGATTCAAACATGTACAGTGGCTGCATCCGATATTTTATACTTATCATAAGTTTCGTTGAGGTTCTACCCACCCACTTACCCAACCAATTTAAGGGTTAAAGTTAATGTTTAAGTTTAAAAACTTTCCTACTCTGCTATTCATCTACATTCCATTATTCCGTCCTATCTTCCTAGTCGATACCCAATACTCGCTCACTGAACCCGCATCCACTGACTTGAGCCCCTCGACTAAAAAACCTGCCTTCGTGTCGCCACAGCACATGAGTTTATTTTGGCTCTCGAAAATCGGGAAATAGAACAGCCGATCAAGTATACACTATTGCAGCACCTACATAATTAATAATTTATTATGCTGTCCGTTATAAAATATAATGTTGGCGAATACAATATACGTTCATATAGTTTCGATTATTATACTCATCACACAATACATGAGTATTGTTGCATTAACAGCGTATACGATGATGGTGTTAAGATAAAAACGCTGATCTATTAAGAATAAGTAACTACTTGCAAATGGCAATATTATTATTGTAACGGTGCTGTGTGCAATACGACTGTTAGTACTCGTGTAAGAATGTGACGATTGATTGTCACGAACTGCGGGAAGGGGTGGCAATATGCCTATATATAGCAAGAGTAGCTCAGTAGTGCACCGAGGTTAGGAAAAAAAAATCATTGGAACGAAAATTTTTTTCTATACTACTTATATTATATAGATTAAACTGCTTCCACATGCCACGTTATTATCTTGCCTATTCGAATACGGAGTGCTATACAGATGATGGTATTATAATCTCATCTTCAACCCAATTGTAGAGAAAAAACACCGAGATATATTATGCTCACATCTACAATTTAAAATAATTATTGTGACGCAAAAAATATCGCTCCACTTGCGATTTTCTTTGTTTTTTTTAGACAAGACCCGATGAGACCGCAGTTGTTAAAAATGCACCGATAAATTCGCAGTAGGTACTGGTAGTCCGTTATCATAAGAACGCCACGGTTTTCTAAAATTAAAATTATTATATTTATACACGTTTGGAACATTGGACCGATTCAGTGACATCATTTGAAAAAAACAACATGTTTATAGGTATTATGATCTTTAAAAAATATTAATTTTATTATTAGTAGCCAGTAAGTATGTACTATATCAAATAAAAACAAGACTGCGTGTGACAGTCATTGTTTTAGCAATTACTGTTTTTAATATTATCATATTTATTTAATTTGTAATAGTCTAGGTTTATTTATTTATGTAGTTACATTATATTGTATTGATAAAGCAGATTGACGCAAGCGACCCTTTTTTATAGTTGACTTTTTGATAGACTTTTTACGACTTTTTTGGCCGTAAGCATCATAATTATTATTGATTAATCTTACTTAAGCATCGATATCATTTTTTTGAAATCTAGTTAATGCAAATAGTATACAATAATAATAATCTTTACCTATGGAATTAAATTTCAATTAGATACATTTTAAATAAGACAGTGTACCTAATACGCAGTGTAATGTAAATATTTTATAAATATTAAACATATAGATTTATAGTAAATAATTATTAATTACCTTAGTATTATACACTTTTTATGTTAAGATTTGTTTACATATAACTATATAAGTGTAAATGTGTAATACAACTATTTAAAATTTTAGAAACCATTAAAGAGATAATTACAATTTAGTAACAAATTTACCTATAAATGATTATTACTTTTTTTGAATATGAGTGTAATAAAAAAAAGGATTATATAATGCACAACAAAGAGATGTATAGTTAAATAACTAAACTACGTAGGTAATATTTATTAATTGGTGTTAAAGTAAAAGCACATTCTTTTAGAAATCTTGCTAAGATTCCATCTTAGGTTCACACTCCTATTAATAAATTCATAATTTTAATGTTATTATTTGGAGTAGTTTAACTAATCCATTATTGGGTTACAGAAAATAGAAAAATAGAGGCTAAATAGATTTAAAACTGCAGGTCATTTATCAGCTTTTTCTAGGTAATTGACTTTTTTTGGAAACATTTAAACATTTCCAGAAATATATTGGATTATTCTTAACAGATATTTTTACATAATTTGTGCATAAAGAGAGGTTTTTAATTTACTTAGTAACCTCCTAAAATATTTCGAAAAATGTTTGAGAAAAAAAAAATCAGTAATAATTAATGTAAGTTAATTTGTTTTTATTTTATTTCAACAATACGGACTTCAAAAATAACAATATTATAACTTATACAATGTAATAATACCGAATAAATATATATCAAAATACTAAAATGATGATCGATCACTATTCGCCATACGCAAGATTCTGAAGGTAGGATGGTTCTTAAAATAATTGGTTTTGACGGGAATTTATTTTTAAATTGTATAATAATTATACTGTTAATAAATAATAACTATTAATTTAAGAGCTTCAAACACTAATCAATCAATTTATTACTTACTTTAAAATGTTCTAAATGATAATGTGTTATGTTTAAACAAATACTAAATTTTCTGCCAGGCACCCGAGACCCAAAGTGGGGCTTGACGACGTCTGTAATAGCAATAATTATGTTTGACCCGAACTCTGAGCTAGCAATGATATTGATGGTAACTACTTACTATTTTTTTAATTTTATTTAATAGTTTCTGGAAGTTCAAGAGATTTGACATCTATTTAAGTTTTAATTAATGAGTTAAACAACTAGTGAATTTCTCCAGCCATGGCTACTGTAACATACAGGATGTGACAGGGAGACCTGACAAACGAAATAACTTTTGTTCTAATCAATATTTTTTAATTTTCTTTATATATATATATAGATTATTGGCTCTTGCGCTACAATGATTCTAAATTTTTTTATTCCTCAATATACTGTACATAAAAATCTGTTAAAAATTTTTATTATAAAATTCAAAATAGCCAACTTGTAAATTTGGATTTTAGATAACATTTGAATGTAAAAACATTAAGTCAGGTGATTTATTTTTTATGATTTTTTCAAATTTAGATGTTAACAAGACGTACCTATTTAAAAATTCTTACAAAATATTTTTAAAAAAGTTTATATTTTTGAATTTAAAATTTTTTTACAACTGGATCAACTTTAATTACTTAACAAAAATAATGAGATTTAAAAAAATTCATAAAAACAAATATGACTTAAATAAATGTTTTTACAGTTAAAAGTTTTCTAAAATCTGTGAAATTGGCAATTTTGAATTTTTCAAAAAAATTTTAATCAGATTTTAAATACAGCAAGTAGCGTGAGTCAATAAATTATATATGTTACAGGCAATGTGGAATACTGGGCAATGTGGTCCTGCCCGGGAAATGTAAACTACAATTTTTTTTTAACCAACTAATATTATTATTTATTATTATTATTAATTATTATCATTACATATTTATAGTATAATTTTTTTTTAAGAACTATCATTATTAATTTTATTCATGAACAATAATACGAATATATTTTGACGGAATAACAAAAAAAAAAAAATAGCAAGTTTATCATCATTTTGAATTACATAGTCTGTCTGCTTTTCTTCACTTGATTTTTAAATATTCATACAGTAAGTAACAAAAATAAGTTTATACACAATGTTTCAAAAAAATCATAGTTTATTTTATTATGAAAAATGAATAAAATGAATAATGATTTTAAAATAAAAAAAAAAATTTTTAAATAAATGAAATTAATTTAATTTAATTTTTTAAATTTTAATAGAGGTATTAATATTTTATTTAAAAAAAAAATCAAGTCTATAAATAGGTAATAATAATAAAAAATAATATTTTTTGGTTAAAAAAAATTTGTGGTTTTCATTGCCCGTAGCATATATAAATTTAGATATATTTTATAGTTGAACAATTATAAATGTTCAATTTTTATAGCTAAGAATTGAAAATTTAAAACAAGGATTCTTATAAATAGTCCATACTGTAACCAAAAAATATATAAGCACTGTTATTTTTAGAGACATTTTAAGTACATATTTGGACGAAATTATATATTAACGCCAAGAATAACGATTTTAGTTATTTTGTTGTAGTTTAAAAATATTATTCGTGGGTAGGTACTTTTAGAGTACATTTATTGTTATGTTTTCTACACATAGTGACATTTTCAAATGCAATTTTTTCATCAAAAATTAATTTAACATACTATAATACTAATTCCTAACAGAAAAATAAATTCTTTTCATTACAATAATAATATCATAAATATAATTATTAATTAAATAAACAATAGGCTTATAGATCGTTTTCGCTCAGAATGTTTTTGTATACAATGATTTTATATCATTGAATTCAAATTTAACCATTCATTACAGTGACTTACTGACTTCTCTAGAAATCTAATGTGTACATCAGAGAGTTATTTATTGGCCTACCTTTTTAAATTTAATGTTTATAAACATGTTGATGGTAAAAATGTTTATTTAAATCAATACACAATTTTTTTAAATATCAATACGTATATTTTTTTGAAGTAAATTTATTTGAATCGTAATACATTTTTTCAAAATATTCTTCTAGGTAATTTTCTGACCTGAGTAAATCTTAAATTATTTATTATTCATGTATGATTTATTATACTTATATTAGGTATATGTAATTGGGGATACGTAGCAAAAAAAAACTGTTATGGTAATGATAAAAGTAACAACACTGGGAAAACAAATGCGTTCAGGGAATTATTTTTCCTATATTCGCATGTTATAATATACACTAGACTGCAAAATATTATGTTCTTGATACATCGTTTGTGCAAATGTACATCATATATAATAATAATAATTGTAAATAATTTTACGGTTTTACACCCAAGAAAAAATAATGACATTTTTTTGCTGATTTTTCATAAACATCTTTTAATTATTATTGTAGCAAGCACACTAAGTATCTGTTATGTTAAGTAGGTAATATGTTCACCTGAGGCAAGATGAGGACGTCCCAAAAATATTAATCCATAAATATGTGTATATATTTATGGGAAAATTAATGTAATAGCTATAAAAAATGTTAAATAACAAAGATAAATAAACGCTCGAATAGATAAAATGTATAGACTTATATTTTTATTTTATTAATTTTACCTATTGTACTTTATACAAAGTCAGAGGTTCCCAAACTCTGGGTTGCGATTATATTTTAAGTAGGTAGCGTTATTTTTTTAAATAATAAATTTTTTAGACATGTGTTTCTATTACTTTTCGTTAATTTTTAAATTTAGTTTAACATAAATCAATATCTGCGTCTGTTACAATTACGAATTTACTGCGACCAAGTTAACACGACACAATCAGATTAGTAGTTATTGAAAAGATAGCAATTTATTGCTGATAAATTCCTTGATAAAAATTTAAAAATAAAATATACTGTTCTTCAGTTCAAAATGATTCTTTTTTAAATTCTTGTTTATTCATAACAGCAAAAACAAAAAAGTTTGTTGATATTATTGCGGGCCTCCAAAATTTAAATAATTTCCAAAATGGGTCGTTCTATAACAATTTTGGGAACCTCTCACATAAGTAATACAAAGGTGGGTAAAATTTAATAAAAAATTCAATTGATTAAGCCACCTGATCCCCGAATCCCGATGTGTACATTATAACTATAGCCGTTGTTCATAAACACTAAAAGTACGTTAGAAAATTCCTAGTACCGTTAAAATAAGGTAATAGCTTAAACATGTTTACCATACAAAATGTTTGACAAAAAAAATTTAAGTTACAACAAACAAATAATCAGATAAGGTAAATATTTACGTCCTCTAAAAAGGTAACAGTCATAATGTATTAATTAAATATTGTGGTCCGAGTATTTTTGAAACGTATCTACGTAAATTGCGTTCTGTACTCTTGTATATCTGTTGGATGCTGATTTAGGTACTATAACGATGTATTTTGGTTCTTAAAAAAACATTGATTTTTTTTTAATTCGAAAATAGTCATTTTCTAAAGTAAGTTGTTGGTTTATAACACGGATAAAAAAACAATTTTGAAATCGGTTGAATTTTGAATGAATGACAGCGACCGTTTTAAAAAATACAGTGTAACATTGTAAAATTGTACAGTTTTTCATATTTTCATGACTAATGCTAAGCGGCTAAGCCAATAGGCAAAAAAACACTTTTTGTTGAAATCTTCTTTTAAAATAATTTTTTATTTGTTTTAAAATATTGTTCAATATATCCACGATGAACTATGCACAAATCAGGTTTATAGTCCCATGATCTTTGCACCGAAATGAGAGTTATTATAATAAATATGTGGTGATATTTTTAGCGACATTTCGTCACAAAGATCATGGATATGTAAAATTGACATTTCCATAACAGTTAACATTGAATAAATTGAACAGTATACTAAATTAAATAAAAATGATTACATACAATTTCAACGAGTATTGTATTATTTATTGCATATTGGATTAGCATTAGATATCAAAGTGTAAAAAATCTGAAAACCACAAAATATTGAATAGGCTGTATTTTTAAAATAGAGGTCTTTGATTTATTTAAAATTCAGCCGATTTAATAATTGTTGTTTTTCTCCATACTATAAAGTATAAACCAATAACTTTAAAATGGATGTCTTCAAATTTATAAAAAAAGTCTTTTTAAAAATCAAAAAAAGATTAAAAGCGTTTTTTAAAATATTTTTTTATAACTTTTTAATTGAGAGGCTATTAGTATTACGCATTACTTAAAACGTGTATATTATATTTCGAATTAGAGCTACTGATTTTCCGGTTAATTAACATACTGTAAAATAAAAAATGAACAAATTACAAACAAAAAAATTACTCGTTTAATATACTTAAATTACCAATTTTTTACTAGATACGTAGGTACCTATAGATATTTGTGGCATAGCTATGACTTTTTTCTATTTGATATCATAAGATGAAGGATCCAAAAGTATCATTGTTACCAGTTTAAGAAATAAATATTAGAAGTACCCCTTTGCCCCACTTTCCTCATATGCTGATAATATTGGAGAATGTCATTTCAGAATTGTTCGTGGAACCCAAAATAATCCAACAATAGACACATAGAATAAATTTATAATTAGGTCGATTTCTAGCAAAATATTATCATATTTAAAAATTATTAAAACCATAATGTATATAAAATTACCTATGAATAACAGCCATTATTATTTTATACAAATTAAAACAAATGCATTATGTATATAATGTGAAAAGAAAATGCATATGATCCTATAATTTTAAATGATGTAACAGAAGACAATTCGCAATATTATAAATTGAGAGAATTAATACTTTTATTGCACATAATAAAAAAATGAATTATATATTTCGTGATTAATGTAATAATTATAATAATTAAGAAATATACAAAATAAATAAACAAAAATATTATTTTTATCGTTTATAAATGAGTAAATTACTATAATAGCTTCAATATTTTATTATTTGTGTTCGAAAAGTATCGATTAATTTAAACATAAAAACATCTGTAAGAGTATACGTAGGATACCAATAGGCTTTGCATCCCACAAAATATTACGTCTCTCTGATCACTATTTAATATAACATTATATTATTCGTGTGCAGTTATGCCCGATTACAATAAACTTCACATGTACCTATACGAAAACACACATTTGTTCAACAAATAATACCGAGTTATCAAGCGGGTGTTATGTCGTTCTGTATAGGTGTATAAAATATTTAAATTTAATAATAATATGTTATTTGAAATTGCATGTGCACACATTCATTTTTACGAGACAACATAAATCATAATATAAATAATATTATACATTACATTATCCTACTAATTCTGATCAATTAAACGAAAGTAAGAGAAAAAGTAACAAGAGAACGATTAAATCAAACTCGAAATAACCGATTATTAAAATAGTATAAACAATAAATGTATACATATATTTATCATTTTACATTAATCAGTTATTTAAAACAGAATGATAAATATTGTATACAATTTCATTACCTACAATTTACATCATAATTTGTCCGATATTGTTCACAAGAGTCAGTTCACCCACAATGCTATAAAATTAACGTATATTTATAAAATTAATGAAAATAGTTCACAAACTATGTTTTGTGTAAAATCGAGGGAGACTTATAATAGATACACATTTAGATTTGGTTTTTTTAAAATTATGTGACATAAAAATTAATTTGTTGCATTTTCTTAATACTTGTATTATTATTTATTACACATGATCTTATACAATATATGGATCCTAACAATAAAATATTACTATATTAAACATTAAAAAGTAATGACTATCGAATAATTAATATCAAAACATAAACACAATATAATTACCTGCAATCACATTAAACGTGCCCAATTACAATCTTGTTGAAAATAATTTTATCCATATTAGTGATACTTAAATCTTAGATTTTTGATTATTTGAAAACAAATTTTGTTTTATAGTATTCTATGCCAACGAAGCACAAAATATTTTTTGTAAAAGTATGATTAAAAATACGAATTATTTTAGAGCATATTTCAACACTGTACAGTTTTTACTTTTTAGAGCATATTGGAATGTCATAGATGGTATTTTCATGGCATACTACTCTACTTGGTAGCTTGATAAACGACTAATAACATAAAATTAGTTTTTTTATAAAGACTATAAGACTAATTCTAATTAAGGCTAAAAAGTTGTTTCCAAAGTAAACTTACGTGACAACGTACCCATTGGTTGTTTTATAGTTTTATACCGTAGTATTTTTTTCTGAATTAAACTTATGATCGTTTAAGGAATTGTAATCATACAATAAAAAATTAATAAATAGACATTGTTGCAACTTGTTGTATAATAATTTAAAACTATAATCATACTTTTTTTAAACACTGTACCGCAAACCAATTCGGCCAATATTGATGCATAAACGCTTATTTAAATAACATATTTCTATTTTTAGTGCATATAAATCCGAACACTGCAAGTAACATATAGATATACATTCATATTATTCATAACTTATCAGCAAATATTATCGTATATTGTCATTTTGATGAATTGCATTTTCTGCTGCGTACTTATATTGGTTAGTCCTAACCGTTCAGTACTACTGACCTACAAAAATCCATGTCGTTGTTTAGATTTTTATAATAATATAATATAATATTATTGTACATCATATTTCTGTTTTGTAGTTTTATTTTTATCTTTTGCCTCGTGCAGAACACATTTATTAGGTACATTTTATAATTATTATTTTTATTTTAACATTTTTGCATTTCAAACGAATATAATAATATTTTGTATTTATTAAAATATGCCGACGCAAAAAAAAAATGAGTTTTTCATCAAAATGGTATGTACATGTACTATAGGCCCCTATCACATATTGTTGTCGTGTTCATATTGCACCCAACCGTTATATTATTCCCAAGTATCTACAGAGTGATTCTCTAAGCATGCTCACTGCATTTTTCCATAAATACTGCAGTTATGCAAACCTGAATCCTTCTTTTGTAAATAAGTAGATATTTTTTTGTTGAAAATTTCGATGTACCATATACCTAATTCAAAATTAAAACTTATTAGTTTCTCAGTTATTAAAATATTAGTCCTAAAAAGAAGGAACCTTAAAACGGTTGTACACAAGTATAAATTATTATACAGTACCTACACATGAATCATTTATCAAAAATATAAATGTTGATTGGTTAAAATTAATTGCTAAGTTTATCAAATCACATTATCCCCTAAATTATGAAAACTCTTTATCATGGGATCTTTAGAACACAAAGTAAAATAACTAAAAAACTACTTATTCGAATTTTTATTTTTATTCGTAGGTGTTTAATTCAACATTTTTTTTAGAAAAATTACCCACTAAATAAATTGTAAGTAGTATAAGGGGGAGGGGGGATCTTCTTTGAAAAAAGCAAGTTGAAATCTCCTAGGAAGTTCGATTCCTTAAGTGGTGCGTAAAAATCTCAACAATTTTAAAATATGGTCTCTTTAAAACTATCAAAAATAAGATTTGGTATAACTGCATTATTGAAAAAAAGCGCAAGCATGCTTGGTGAATCACTCTGTATATAGGCCTACAATTGCACTAAGAGGACTTCATTCGATATTATAATAATTAATAACGAATGTGTTTAAGTATCATATACATATAGGTACATATTTTATGAAAACAACTCACTGGTTTTCGGTTCAGTTCACGCGTATATTCTTAAGTGTCTTATTCTATAGTAATGTAGTAGATCATTATAGACTATAATTATTTATTTTATGAACTCATTATTCACTGTGATATTTATGTTGTTTAGGGGATAACATTAAGAACAAAATCACAGTATCGTCATGCAACTGTGACATCCACATGACGTGCCTTCAACAAAGGCAATCTGTAACAAACCCTTACTGTTCCAAAATGGTCGATGGTGTAACGATATTCGAGGTAAACAAAAATATAATATAGTTATGCACCAAGACAAAACATTGAGCATGTTATTAGGTATAATATTAGTTTGCTCCTTTATTTATTTTAAAGGTATGATACTTTGATACCTAAGACAGAGACATATTATTATTACACGTTACCCAGGTCATTATATACTGTCAATTTAAATCCGAGCACTTCCTAATTTATAACGAATTAAAATATTTTATTTTACAACATGATTTTGTGTGTCTCTTTCTCTTTCTCTTTCTATAATTTTTTACAAAAACTGTAGGTATAGGTAATGGTTATCTAGGCAATATGCATAGAACAATTGTTTCCGAACTTTTTTAAATTAACTATCTATTCTTTAGTGTATTACTAACAATTTGTTCATTACTTTTTTTAAAGGATTTGGTCCAGTCTATGTTTTCTACCAAAATAAACCTATTTTATGCCAACTGTACCTTCTATTCTAATCATCAGATAATATTTCTGAATACATATTTGCATTTTTCTTGAAATTTACTTGAAAAAAACTTTTTGAACCCATAATTTTTCAAAATAAGACTTAAGGTATGAATTTTAAGAATTTTAAAATGTTAATAGTATTAAAGAAGAAAAATTAATTTAAAAATGTAAGAAAGTAATTTTCAAGTAAGATTCACAACGAATTAAGAAATGTCATCGAATATAAAATGTAAGATTGTCAAAAGATTGATACTTTGACTGTTTAAAAAACAAAATAATTTGTATTCGAGTTGGGCAATATTGACATGTGATGCACTTGCGAGAGTTCTTCTCTGTTTCTATTATTTTTATGTAGGTACGTCCACTCACATTAATGATCACTTACTAGTACACATTTACACGACTCGTATGCATGCAAATATAAAATGTTTGCTTATAACCAACAACTTAAAAACGTTCGGTATCGAAACACCTTAATATTAAAACAACGTGATAAAATAATATTAAATATTTAGGTCAAAGTAAATACTATACAAAGACAATTTTAGTCCTATATGGTTAGGTTAGGGTGGATTATCATAAGTTTGTTTTTGGAACTAAGTATTTGGAATGTGTTTTTATTTTAGAACACACACGAGAAAAAAATTTAAATTACTCAAAAATATGTATTAGTATTTATATTTATTTTCATTAAAACTAAGGAAAACAAAAAAAAATTGACAAATGGGAAACATTAACGTTACATGAAATATTCACTTAATATTTATATTAGCATTTTCCAGAGAAGAAATAATTATGTACATGGTTCTTCATGAGTTGCTCTTTTATCAATTTAATGATATCGAAGATACAATCACAGTTTTTTATTTTTATAAGCGTTATTTGACAAATACTGACAAAATCACTAAAATGTATTAATTATGTTGTAAAATTGTATTATCATAGAATTGAAAATGTTATACGAGATTCCTCTACATTTTAAATTATATTTTAAAAATACTTAATAATATGCACATTTTTTTAAAGACATTTGGAATCAAAATTGTCCTCGAATAGTTTTATTTTAATTCGAAAAACATTATAGTTAATAAGTTAATAACAATAAATTGAATTATAATATAATACAATATTATCATTATAGAATACATTTTGTGAAATTACAACAATTAGCTCGTTTAACCAGCTACCGTATCGCTAATACAAAATAAAAAAATAATATACTAATATAATGTCTACATAAATTATAAAGACCTTCTCGTATCGTTAGAATTGAAGCAGGGAGTGCTGTCGGTGTGTCATATAAATTGCATATTATTATACATGACTAAATGAACGGTATGTCACAGTCCAGATTCGTTTTTCTAATGATTAATTCATAATTTAATTTAACGCATTCATTACAAACTACTGCAGACATTATAAACTTATACAAATTATATTCTTTAACGGTATTTATTATTTTATCAAAAACGTGAACATAACATCTGGTTTAAAAATTGTCTACTGATATGTAAAAGAGAATTTAAGTTATATTAACTTTAACTATAGTGCCTTCAAGTGAAGATTTCACCTATTAGGACTTATTAGGAATTGGGATGAGGACTAAAAATTTATTATATAGGTGTATTGTAACGCATTTAATTAGTTAAGTTTAATATTTTTTTAAATCCAAATTTACCGTGTATATTTTCAGTTTGTATTTAAATATTTAATAAATATTAGTAACTTTATTTTTGATAAACTTACAATTTAAAAATACCCATTAGTTATTACTTACTAGTTACTACCTATGTCAGTGGCGCGGCGTAGATAGGAATTTTCATTAGGGATGTGTGATGTAACAGGTAGACTTGACTAACTTTTGTTTCAATCAATTTTTTTGTACATACAATTCATTGACACTTGTGCTACATGTATAATATAACATTTTATTTTTATTTTTTTATACGGGAAAATTTAAAAATTTAAAATTGATGTGCATTTTTTTCGAAAAATTCATAATGGCTATAATTTGTAAATCAGTGGTTTAGAAAACTTTTGATTGTAAAAACATTTATCCAAGTCGAGTGGTTTATGTTCTATATGATTGTTTTAAATTTAAAAAAAAATTTTAAGTAATAAGGCTATTTGGCTATTTGAAAAATAATAATTTTTTGAAAAAAATGTAGATTAAACAAGTAACTAGTTACTTATTTAAAAATTCTTAAAAATTATTTGAAACAAGTTTATATTTTTGAATTTAAAATGTTTTGTCAAAACTGTATCAACTTTATTTGACAAAAATAAAATATTTCAAAACATTGTAAAAAAAAATATAAGACTTATATAAATGTTTTTATACTAAACATTTTTCTACCAACCAGACTTATAAATTGACTATTTTGAATTTTTCGAAAAAAATTTACATCAGATTTTAATTTTTTAATTTTCAGTATTGAAAAAATAAAATTACATGTTTCTATACATGTAGCACAAGAAAATTTAAATATTTAAAAATTGGTCACTATGTGTCATATTGTTTTTTAATTTGTATGCATTATCCATAAAAATAATTAGTGTTTAACTGTCTACGTGAGAGTAACTCTGTATCATTCCTTATTTTACTATCAGAATATGTCAAGACTCCAACCCCTCCCCTCCTAACTTAAAGGTCTAGTTACTTCAATGTAGCTATATCAATTGCAGTAACGTATAAACATGGTGTTTTATGAAGATTTGATAGTTTTACACTGAAATCATCTGTTACCTATTACTTTGTTTAGGTTGTAGGTACATGCATAATTACATATTGTAAACTACATATTATTTCCTACTATGATATATCTACGGAAACATTATACCATTATTATTATTACTTACAATAATTGTACAACAAATTATAATCATCACCGTTCATCTACAAAATATTACTTTTCGTAGTGGTTGCCGGAGAGAAGAAACTGCCCAGGTTTCTGCCAAGAGTTTTCATTAATGTTATTTTCTATAACAATATGGTGTTCGATGCTCATAGCATGTGGAATGAAAGCAGTTGGATTTTTCCTAGAAGCCAATGATCAAAATGCATTCCCCAATGGGATAGTCATGACTATTATAGTTTTCTCAATGGCTGCCATATTGTGGTTATGGCTCATAATTTTTTCATCGTTAGTATATCAAAATACCTACCAATACCTACCTCTTGTAAATTATTGGTATCCAGATTTATATGCAAATACATTTTTTATGTATTTGGTTTAAAATGATTCTGATTAAAACTTAAAACCATGTATAAGTACGTTTCATAATGTGTTGATTCAAATACTAATAATGCTAATAATAATAATAATAATAATAATAATAATAATGCTAATAATACTCTTTATTACTCTCATTTTTTACACGTTTCTAAATAAATACCAACAAATAGGGTATTAAAAAAAAATTTTTTTTTATTAGTCGCCAGTAAATACTATTATAGCTAAAATAATTGATGTAGGTATACCTAAAATGAATAATGTCATTTTTTAGAAACAAAATGATATAATTCTTCATATTTAGAAAAAAAATTTAAATGAAACTATTATTATTATGTAATTATATGTCAAAATTTTTTTTCACATTTTCACTCTTTTGAATGATAACATATACATTTATTTTCATATTTCCGAGCAATATAACATTTTGGTTTATACGTTTCAAATTTCGGACAAGTAAATTCGTAGTTAACTAGTTATAAATATTTAAAGTTTAGAAAAGAGGAGTGGTGAACCAAAATTGTTTTATTCTTGTTGGTACCTCCCTACAATTTCAATCAGCTTAACTGAACTTTAATTAAAAACTTATAAGCTACTTTCCCAAAAATCGTTTTTTTACGTTCACTACAAAAAATATCCTGCTTTAAAAAAAGGAATTAAAAATGCAGGTTGTCATTCAAAAAAAGAATTTAAATTCAATATAATAACATTAAAAAATAGTGAAACATAATTTTCTTACAAAAATTTAAAAAATGTACTTAGGTACCTATGTAAAATACATTTTTTCAAAACCGTTAATAATTTTTGAAATAATTAGTGTCGTACGTTAAACTATCACCCGGTTACAGTCGTTATCAGATTAATATTGGAATTGAAACAATGGCGCTGTGGCTACGTGAATAGTATGCAAAAACAGTGGTTCAACGTAATAATATATAATTTACAATTAGGTATTATTATTGTTTATTATTCATTTAAAACTGTTATACCTAGCGATATCATGTTATTAATTTTAAACCGTAAATGCCGTCACAGTTGTGCTAAGTCTTGTACCTAGATTTTTGGTATAGTAATAATAATACTAAATAACTAAATATGCTTGATGCTTATCCATTAATATTTTTAAATTGTTCATATCTATGCATCTGCAAGTGCTTATTTTACGTGTTTTTTGCATATAAATCCGGACGACCGAACCCTATTAACTTAGACAATGTACATATTATCTAACGCCATAATTCACCTAAAAATGCTTTTTTATTTACAGGATATGGAAGCGTATAGACATGGTGATACGCAAGAACAAAAATTATTTGAACGTAACCGAAGATATCAACTCTGCATTTGCTGTCTGATAAGACAGGCTAATTATTTGTATTTTCTAATATTAAGATTAATTGCCACTTACTTAATTGTTTATTTTTATGCAATGGTAGTTAAAAATAATCGTTACTTATTATAAAAAAAAATATTAAACCTAAAATATATAGGTAATTAAAATATATAACTATTAATCATTATAATTATAAAAAATATGTAAACAAATATGTATGAACTAAAATATAAAAATAATTATTCCAATTTTTACATATAATTTATATTTGGTATGAAATTGAGTTGTAAGTACTCAACAATATTTATACTTTCCTTATAATATGCTTGAGGCCCTGAGTGGATGTTCTGACGTCCTGGCATATTGAGGAATGTTTTGAAGTTGTGTACTATTCAAAATGTCTAATATCTATACATTTTACAGTTCATGTATTCATTCTTGTTAACTTTTTAACGAAATTGTATGGATTAATTTAATTAAAATTCAATTTAAATGATTAAATTACCATGACAATTTTTTGTTCATATAATATATAGGTATCATAAATATATTAATAGACAAGATACATTATTACTATTTGTATAGAAAAGCCTTGATTGCGTTTAATAAATTTAAATAACATTAAAATACTTGTTTACTTATATTACAAATCAATACATTTGGTGACACCGTAGTAATATTAAATATTTCCCGTCCGACTTTTTTAGACTTCGAACTGACAGAATAAAATAAATTATAATTATTCTGATGTAGTTAAAAATTGGGCTTCACTATTGCGTCAATATTTTGTTAAGGATAAAAATTTAACAGTATACCGTCTCTCCCTCAAAAATAAAGGAGTGGTAAAAAACAACAGGACAATCAAAAATGATGATACCTATTCATACATCTACATAACCAATTAACTTCATGAAAATAGTTCATAACAACAAAAATAATATGAAGAAAGAATGCTACTATTAGAATAATAGGTAGGTACAATCAAAATTACAGTGGTGAGACGGTAATGATGTTTAATTTTAATTCATATTTTTACTCCACCAAATAATAAATATACTTAATTATTTTATTTTGGGAGTTCAAAGTCTGAAAAACTTGAGGGAAAAATTTAAGTTTTAATACAATGTTCCAAATTTATCGTCTTTAATGTTAATGAGCGCAAACAAATATTTTAACTTAATTAAATTTTATGAAGCGCAATGAAGGTTTTTTTACATGGGCACAAACACAGTCCATCCATAAGGGTGTCATAGTGTCCATATATTTTAATAAAATTTAGTTACTTGGAACATCTTTATATTAACTAAGTGTTAATACTTTATTAAAAATTAACTGGTTGCCCATCTATCTATTGTTGTGACATAATACATTTTCTTATCTAACTACATAGGTATCAAACCTACATACAGGCTACGTAATTTAAAGAAATAATGTTAATCAAACTTAAATATGTTATTATCCTGCATCATTGTCCGATAATAGGAGTCACTGGCAATGATACTTACACACGTCGTAGTACCTTATAAACAGAGAAGATAAAGTAGTAAAAATATGCCCTAAAAACCAACTTAATATAATAGACAAGCTGACATGATCCCCTTCAAAAAAATAACAAAATGTATAAATGCATATTTTTAGAAAAGTTTTTACTTACAATAATTCTTAAATTTGCAGTGATCTTCAAAATTAAAATTAAAACAAAAATTATAAATATTTAAAGTTAATATAAAATAAGTATTTTTTTTTCAATCCCAGAAAATCAAACATAATGAGTACCTATTTGATATTGTTTAATATAAAAAATACATACAATTTTATTAGGGAAATGTGGAGCTTAGTGAAACCGCTAGAGGTAAAATAACTAACTGATATCGATAAATCAATCAAAGTAATGAAAAAAAAAAAATGAAAAAAAAATGTATTCTGTTTTAAATAATGGGTATAATCTTCTGGAAAAAAATAAACCGATTCGCATTTGTTGTCTCGTACTTATTACTAGCTGTCCCGTCACGGCGTTGCCCGTGTATTATATGGATGCATCCAAATTCCGTCCCGAGGACCTTTTTTTATACCAATTCCGTCCCGGTTAAAAAAAGGTATATACTAATTCCGTCCCTGTTAAAAAAAGGTATATACTAATTCCGTCCTTAATAATTTTCATAATTTAGTCGTAATAATTAATATAAAAATTGTTGTTATAAAATGCATACAAAAAATATAAGTATTCATATTATTAGTACATTTTCATAATTTAATGGTCATAATATTGTATACATTTATAATAGTAATAAAAAATTCAGTAAATACTAAATAGTCAAAGTATATATACATATTTATAGTAAAAAAACATACATTTTTACAAATTTGTAATTGGGTTGAATTTATAGGATATTTTTTTTACAAATTCTAATCGTGATATTTGACCTGAACTGTATTCATACATTTTTTCTTTAATAAAATCTTCTTTAGCTAATATGGGTTTTTTTCGTTTTATACTGCTTCTTAATTTGATGTAGGAATCTTGTTGAACATATTTTAAAGCTTCTATAAACTGATAAATATTTGGGTGGGCATGATAAAACATTCCATTGAATTTAGAATGGAATGATTCACAGTTATTTGTGGTACGTAAAGTACTATATGTGAAAATTCAGCCCATATACGAGGTGTAAAAGTAGATTCAGGTGAAATATAATTATCAACTAAGTAATCAGAAAATAAATTTATTTTTTCATCAACTGGTTTAATTCCCATTAGATCAGAAGCAAACAAATACTTCATCGGGTGTTAAAAATGGCAATCCAAATATGTACTTTAAAAATCCACCAATCTCAGAAATATCATTTCTAAAAAAAGTGGACAATTTAAGATCTTGAATTTTACTCCACCATGATTGCCCTAAGTCAGCGTTTCCCAAACCATTGGTCGCGAAATTTTTTTGAAGGGTCGCGACTCGTGGTTACGATTACAGGTATTTTAGTCGTAAATTGATAAATAGTATAAATAACTAGTATTGTAGAATAAATGACGTAAAGTTATTATGATTGTGGAATTTTTTTTATCTTATCGGTAAATGTGCTAATGACTGGACAGTGACTAGTCGATGCGATTGGTCTCGGTCGTTTGTCCATAATCCATAATATGCAGTTGAGCAACGAGCGCACATCGAGACCACAAAAAGTTAAGTTTACATTTTAAACTATTTTAACAAATTTTTACCTAATGGATAAATTTATAATTCGTAATACAACAGTCAGTGGTACTAACCAACCAGTTCCATCAGGCAGTTCAGTACAAAACAAGAATCAGTACTTTTACTGTTTCTATTGAAGAGTTGAACTTCAATACGCTTCTTGAAACACAGATTATCGATCTTTCTTGTGATAAAACTTATGAACATAAATTAAAAAATGAAACTTTTGTAGATTTTTGGTGTGTAGTATATAATGAATATCCAGAACTTTTAATTAATGCAATAAAAAAACTATTACTTTTTCCTACCACATATTTGTGCGAAAAAGGATTTTCTACCATGGCCAATATTAAAACAAAACAAAGAAACAGATTAGATGTCACACATGACATGCGCATCAGTTTATTTGAAATTGTACCCCAGTTGGAAATTTTATGCAACAGTGTCCAAAATCAAAATTCACACTAAATTTTCTATTATACTAATTTTTTGTATTTTTTTATAATTTATTTTATTTATTTATTAAGTTATTATTATTCAGTATATTGTATTCGTATTGTATTTTATAAAAAACTCAATGATAAAATGGATTATAGTAAAAATCTTATTTATCTAAGGCATACTTTTTTTAGGGGGGGGGGGTCGAGGTACCTAATAAAGATTAAATTTATGGGTCGCCATTTCAAAAAGGTTGGGAAACGCTGCCCTAAGTGAAATCGACATCCTCTTAAATTTATCTCTGGCCAAACTGCATAAACAGCAGTATGTATAGCACTTTCAAAATCTGCGTAAAAAGTTTGCGGTGTAAATTGTAACTGGAGCTTATCACATTCTGCACATAAAAATTTAAATGCGTGTTTTTTGCTTTGTTGGGCAGTAAAAAAAATACAAGTGGAATAAAACTGTTTGGTTCTTTTAATCCATGAATAGTAAAAAATTGTGTAAATTGTTTTGGGCAACATTTAAAGGTTCCATCAACATAAATAGTACTAATTTTACTTAAATGAGATAAGTTTGTATTGCAAGTAAACATAATAATGTGTGTAATTGGATCATTTATAATTAAAAAATTTTCGTCATTATTTGTATAAATTGTCGTTTTTTTCAATAATTCATGAACGTCTTCAATGGATGTGGGTAACATTGATAATATGGAAGACCTCGCATGATGTATATTTTTTCTAATTAAGTCTATATCATTAGAGGTAATAGTATTAATATCATGATTAGAAAGTTCTTTATGAATAAGTTTAGCTGGTTTTTCACAAATATCATCAACAGCTTTTCTTTTTAATTTATTATTAAGATTTTGACGATTTAAATTAGTTTCTTCGGTTTTATCATGGCTGTGGTCTAAATTTTTAAAGACAATTTTTTTTTTTCCTGACGCAAAACCTGTTGAATGGTGTATAATAGTTATTAATTGTTTTTATTGAGGTATTTTAGAAAAAAATCATATATCTGCATATTTACAAGTTTAATGAATATTTGGTGAATATTTTAGCGTTTTTAAGAACATATTAGCATTATATTTTAAGCATTAAAGGACCTAAATATCCGCTCTTTTATTATTATAAATTTAGTTATCTTACCAATTTTTATACATGCTTTGCATTGTTTTCGAATGCACTTCCATCGTTCAATATCGTTATTCAACTCTTTGTGAAAACAAAATTTAAATTCATTTTTAATAATTGACATTTTACCTTTTTCACTGTACATATATTGTAGACTATCCATTTTTAATATATATTAAGAGGACGTGATACCCGCATGTGTTGTCTGTCTTACAAGTGAGTAACATAGCAAATTTTACGCTCAGCAGAACACGCATAGCTCCGTTAGTTTAAAAATTAGTGCGTATTGACCTCTTATAAAATCTTAAGGTAAGATTATTATCTAGTCAACCTCATAGGTTTTTTATTATATTTTAATTTTAACGCGAGTTATGAGTAATTTAAAATTTTTTATACATCTTAAAATACTCATAACTCGCGTTAAAATTAAAATATAATAAAAAACCTATGAGGCTGACTAGATAATAATCTTACCTTTGGATTTTATAAGAAGTCAATTCGCACTGATTTTTAAACTAGAGTGGATTACACACTAGGCGATTCGAACGCGCGTCTCTGCGCGTTTCGAACGTCGCGATTAATCGCCCAAAATTAAACATATACTTTTATATGGGCTTATTCACACACGTAAATGAGACGCGCGTTCGGTCGCGTTCGAACGCGCCGAAACGTACATGTTTAATTTTGAGCGTTCGATCGCGACCTTCAGCTAAAATTAAACAATATTTTTCCAATGCATTTTCAATGCATTTCTATTTTTGATAACACACGGGCGATTCGGACGCCGCGATCGACCCGCGTTTATTCACGTTCATTCATAATTTGTGCCTTCAACCTGTGATAGTTTATAGTAATCGCCGCACAAATTATTACAAAAATCTAAAAAATGTTTGACACAGAAGAATTTATTGTTGAGGTGTCGAATGAAGAGGCAATATGGAATATAGGTAAGTAATAATTTATATACTAAGTTATTACACAATACCATATTATAATTATTATTAAATTAAAAATGTACAGAAAGCAAACTATATCATGACAAAAATGCCAAGCATATAAGTTGGACAAAGGTGGCAAAAAAATTGTTCAAAGACTTTGAAGATTATGAAGAAACCGTCAAAATGAGTAAAAGTGAGCATTTTTATTTTTTAACTACATTTATGTATTAAAATATGAAAGTATAAATAATAAAAAGGTGGCCAAGTGGATTTCTCTCTACGCTGTACAGTAGATTACAAGAGAGTAACTGTAACTGTAATGGATTGTGTAAGATTTGAATCCAATGATAAAATGAGCGAAGAAAAAAAAATTAAAAAATTGATATTTTAATTTGTCCGTAAAAACTGAAAAGCTTAAAACGAATCAAAATATTTTCAAAATTGAATGGTGTAAAGAAAATGAGAATATAAACATTCAGTGAAATTTTTATGTATTTACAGCTAAGGATTGAAAATTTAAAACAAGGTTCCACGTAAATAGGTTATAATATATTATAATAACTTTATTCACAATAATATCATCAAATCTTCGGTCAGAATCGTTTTCTTATACAATTATATTATATCATTGGATTCAAATTTAACATAATCCATTACAGTGACTTATAATCTACTGTACAGCAGAGCGACACCCACTTACCTACCTTTTTTCATTTGTTTTCACTGCGCTTTTGAAAACGACTACACACAATTTTAGTCTCTGAATCTAAGCATTTTTACTGTCCTAAAAGGTGGTGACGGATAAATACTTCAAAATAAAAAAGGCTTAATAAATTAAACATAATATTATATTCATAGTACATATTTATAATTTCATGTATAAATAATAATGCTTAAAAAATTTAGTTACTTCACTAAAATCGTAAAATCGTAAAATATTATATAAAGAATAAATTAAAAGTATAAAATTATTAGTTATTAATCAATAAAAATATATAAGGATATTTTTGGCATACAATATTTAATATAATATATAATATTTTAGTTACTTATGCATTCCCATTTCCCGCACGCTAATTACCTATCACCTTGTTTTGCCAAATTAATGCATGAATCGGTTGATTGAAATAGTTGACAAAATAGTCTCTTACGTCTTTTGCAACAGATGTAGAGTTCCCAACCCCTACTTTTTCATTTGCATCCTCCATATCACAAGTCTGTGTATCTTCAGGGCAATATCCATCTCTGCGTCGAAAGAAATTGTGCAAAACACAACAAGCTTTGGTAATAGCAACTCCAAAGTCTGGTTCCACTAATAAGGACGTATGGAAAACCCTCCATTTGTTAGACAAAATACCAAACGTACACTCTATATTCTGTCTTGCCATTGACAAACGATAATTAAATATACGCCGTTCATTGTTTAGGCTTCTTCCGGGGAAAGGGCGTAAAAGGTTTCTATGAAGAGCAAACGCTTCGTCACCAACTATTACGTAAGGTTGAGGAATACCACCATCATCTTCTGGTAAACACTGAGGTTGGGGAAAATTGACTTTATCGTCGTATAATTTTTTTCCAAATGACGATTTCTTAAAAATGTTGCAATCACTCTCCTTGCCATACGACCCCACATCTATAATCGTGAAGCAATAGTTTGCATCACAGATTGCCATGAGTATTATGGAGAAGAAATGCTTATAGTTGTAATATAAGGTACCACTTTTAGGGGGGCATTCTAGTCGAATGTGTTTCCCGTCTACGGCCCCCACACAGTTTGGAAATTGAGTTTTACTATAAAACCCCTCTGCAATGTCTAACCAATCTTGCATTGTCGGCACTACCATTTCTTTAGGCTGAAGAATTGTCCACAATACTTCACATGTCTCACGTACAATTTTTCAAATGGTTGACACGCCCATTAGGAAATCAAAATGGAGAGCAGAAAAATTAGTTCCAGTTGCCAAATACCTGAATAATTAAATACACATTATTGCTTTAAAAGTAAATTTTAACGAACAGTATATTATAATGTTATGAAGATGTTTGATTTTTAATGATCTATACTTATCAAACTTTTTTCGTAGGTACGTCTTATCATCTGTCACCCGTTCCGTGTATATTATGATATAAATATATAATTATTTTAATTATTTACTACGAGTATAATTAAATTTGCATACTTTTATTATAGTAGCTATAGGTTAGATATAAATAAATATAAATTTGTATATATTTAATTATATCAAATATATTTAAAACTGATTATATATATAGTTGTATTATTCAATTGTTATTTATTATTTTTATAGTAGCAGAATTACACAAAAAATGGAAATCTTTAAGGAATAGTTACCGTCGGAAATGCATCACCAAATCTGGGCAAGCGGCAACAACATCTAAGCCGTACATATATGCTAATGTACTAGATTTTTTAAGACCAACCATGCAAAATCGAACGTAAGTAATCTCAGAAAAAATAAATACATATTTAACTACAAAATCGTTTTTAAATTTTATAAATGTTGTCAAAATTCAAACTTTAAATACTTGTAAAAAGAATTGTGCATAATATATTAATAAGTATTTTTACAATTTTTCAGATACTGTTGTAACAATAAATTAGAAGTCTTATATAAATTTTTAAGCTTTTTGACCCAAAGAATAATTTTTTATTGATATCTATAGAAATAAAAACTAAACAAATTGGAAACTGAAAATGTCCGTAAACAACTCAAAACAAAACAAAATATTTAGAAAATGTTATGGTATATGCTTATATAAACATTCAGTAACTATTTTATTCGTAGAACCGAAAGTAATGTCAAGCTCGTTCTGACGTCGTTAATCTCCCATCGACACTTTCCACTCCGCAGTACTGCGTACCCGGTGCGCTGGCTGGTAAGCATGGCCATCGGCCGTCGTGACCACAGCCTTTTTTTGTCTTTTTCCTACGGTCGAGCTAGACGCAACGTGTGTCCGCTCGCCGCCGCCACAGCATCGTATGACTAAGAGATCTTTTGTTGGTGATTTTTATTTTTTACTATAGTCGGCTAGATGCCGTCAGCATTATTGTCGTAAACCACGATACATTCGAGATTTGACAAATTTGGTCATCTGTGAAGTTTTACAGAACGTGTTGAAGTTGCGGTGTCATATCGTACGCTGTCGCCTTTAGAGCCGGTGTCGCAGGTTTCTAATAACCTCAAATATTTTTACCGGGGAAGGGGGGGGGGGTAAAATTATCCTAGGTTAATTTTACCCCCCGTAAAAATATACTAGGATATTATTACCCCCCGGTAAAATTTTTCGACAGGGGGGTAAAAATTGACCGGCATTATATGTCATAGCGCAGACGTGCTGATCAGCAGGTTATAACTTATATTACACTTTTGTTATTCAGCTGTTGAAATCCATGTACGTATGATTATTAATATTATTATGATTATTATTATTCTACATTTATAAGTTTATAATCATTGTAGGGCGTATATACTGTCCGGGCGTCTTATAAATATAATTATCATTGCATTACTGTAAAATATACATATTGCGCACTTCGCCCGATGAGATTGCATATTATATCAACTTTGTATTAGGCATTATATTATGTAGCTGGGTAACCTGTCCCCGTCCTCCACCCTATGCAAGTCCTACGTGAAAACCGCTTGAATTGTAGGATCGGTATCGTCGCCAAGTGCCAACAGATCTATTACATCATTATTATATATTTGCTAGCTGATCCCTTGCACTTTGTTGTCCTTTAAAAATGCCAACACTATATGAGACTCGCTTGTGGTAATGTGTGCAGTATATTATCAGGTAGGCTATCTACCTATGGTGGATTGCGGACCCTGCTAGGTGCACACTCTATATGAATAATATGTTAAATTTTAAATTTATTAATTATTTTGACTGTGTGCATGCTGATGATCAGCTATAAGTGTAGTGGTAGGCAATGTACTGAAATTCGATTTGATGCATTCTTAAACCTGATCTGCCCGATTAACCAATGGCAACCAAAAAATAAAAAAAAAAACAAAGTTCTACTAAAAATTAAGAAAATAAGTTATTAATTTAAATAAACAAGAAAATTGTATAACTATACACATGTTGTATGGTACCGCTAAGTTTGTTTAAAATGTTAAGCGTTATTGCTTAAACTAACCATGATGAACCGACACTTATCAAAAAACTCACTGTACAATTTTTCATTAATCTTCCGATTGATTCCACTTTGAAATAACTGTTTTATATCATAGATAGAAGATAGATGGATCTGTTTTCAATGATAAGTGATAAGCTTGATGCCTCGACTAAGGGAAATAGAGATTTATTTTTGTATACATAGATAGATATAGATAGATTGTAGAATTTTAATTCTCGGAACAATTCATATCTACACGCCGATCAAACACATAGTTAGACGGACTAAAAGTTATGGTGGCATGTCGCTATGGAAACCCACAGGTTTGTGTGTAAAAACACGCCGTGTTATAAAATGTGTATATTAGTTAAACAATTTGTACGTAAACATTTCATTTTTGTAGATTTCAACCTTTTAAAATCAAAATTTTGAAAAATCCTTTCTCAGTGGAACTTGACATTATAATATTAGTCCATCCTCAAAATTTCAACTCCATAACTCAAATAGGTTCAGCTCTGCGTTGATTATTGCTCATGCAACTTTTCTTTATATAGTATAGAGATTATCAAAAATAAAATCCCCCCCCCCCAGGTTTTGTAATAATAATTATTAGTATCACCTATCAGGGTTTCCTATAAAATAAATTGATTTTCAATAAAAAAAATACATATCGTTAGAAATAGATAAATTAATTATTTTACAAGTCTTAAGAGTCTTTTATTTTTTAAGAGACTGGCTGAAATAGTCTTAGTTATATAATATATTTTAAATTTTTATGTTTTAAATAAAGTTAAAAGATAATGAATATATTTTAATCCTTTTTTAGTCTATTTTAATTTTAATGCACACTCATTCTCCTAGCTTAAGAAAAAAAATCATAATTAAATATTGATTTACAACTAAAATATTTAATCTTGGTCAATGAAATTGCATTAAATTTAAGGGGCAAAATTTAGACAATGTATAATCTAGTCATCGCCGCCCTCAGTCGTCGTCACGAACTAAGATATTATGGACTGGAAACGAACGTCTAAACAGCGGCCCGGTTTTGTTACGGATATTTTATGGTAGGGGAAATTACCGGATTGTGCTGTACCCTGGTGGTGAATATCATAAGCTATTTATTATAGATGGTAATAACAACTAATAAGTAATAACTAATAACAATAATTGGATAATTGGTGTCATTACTCATTTGGTGAATATTAATAGTGGAATAGTGGAGTCGCCTACGTTTAATTGTTTTATATTGTTGCAAATTAAATTAGTATTATTATATTCTTATTATAAATTTACATGTTTACTAATTTAATTAAATACGGGTACTTCATTGCTGAAAACCATAGTGTAAAAATAATAATTGGAAATAATGGTAATTTGAAGTACTATTATATTTCTATAAAATAACAATAAAACAATGCAATTTATTGGGATGTGAAGATAGTAGATCATATAGATACATAAGAAAAACATAGGTAGCTATACTTAGTGTCATATTTCATATTATTTAAAAATAATCAATGTTTTACTAATTTAGATTACTTTTTTAAATGCGAGCTTTTCTTTTTTAGGTCTCTATTGCGAAGAGCAGTATGTTGCCTCATTCTCATGGTAATATAGTAACTTATAATATATGTTAGTATATCAGTTCTGTGTTCCAAACATGGGAATGAAATTAAGTGACCACTTTGAGATAAAAAGTCATCCACACAATCTTGGAATACATGCTCTGTGATGCAATATTTTTCAAACGACTTCTCTAAATCACAAATTAGTTTGAAAAATCCCAGATTTGGATGAATTAAATTTCCTCGAGATTTCAAATTTGTTAGTACCGCTTCAGATGCAATTGACGAATTTCCAGCTAAATATGTAGGTAAAAATGTTATACATTTTATTAATATTTTATTTAGATAACTACCTAAACAGTAATACTTACCTGATTGTATAGCTAGTTTACAGCTATTACATTTTGTGAGTTTTAATATTTGTCTGCTTACATATCCACATATATAATATGTTATGCAATCTTTTACAGGAGATTGGCAGTAATCATGATCCAAAAGTTCATCGGCTTCCCATGTACCCATGTCAGCTATTTTATCCAATCTAGAAGCCAATTCATTAATTTTGATGGACCTAATCGACTGATCAGTATCAAAAACTTGTTTAATATCGTTTAGAGTAATTTTTGGATTCGAGGTATCTAATATTGTACAATTTCCAGACTTAGGCGGTTTTAAAATTGAATATGCTGTTAAAATCTTATACACTTGTAAAAACGTTGGGGTTGTAGGAGCATCATTTGGTCCAGTAGATTGACAAATCAACCCAAAAAATTGCTAATATTTATAAAACAATACATTTTTAAGAATTTTATCATTATATAAGAATATTAAAATTAACCTTGATTATTACCTCTAGTTTATCTTGGTTCATCTTATTAGATAAAACATAATCAAACCCAATATCTAATAAATATTTAGATAACTCTATTGTTGATTTAATTGTAACTCGGAGACCTTCTACAGTTTGTTTAGTTAAAAACTCGGACTCATTAATCTTTTTTTCCAATAAATTGTGTTCCCAATCGTCAAGAAATATAAGTGCATTTTCTAAAATCTATTATTAAAATCAATTTTTTTTTCTTATACCAAAATAGGATTAATAAAAATAAATTTTTACCTCAAAATCTTTTGAATTTTTTCTTATTCCTTCTGCAGGAAATTTTTTATTTAAAACATCAAATATATCATTAAATAATTTAGTGAAATACTCTGTTTCAAGAGAATTTTCAAGACTTTTTACCTTAACAATTTCCCTATAGTATTTTAATCCAACTGACACTGAATTGCTAAAAACCTAAATTGTTTAAAACAATATATCTTATTAAATTGTTGAAAGCAATACTTATTTAATGTTGAATTTACCTGAGTAGCTAGCTTAACATTCATTTTAGAAAAACTGTCCAAAAATAAATGCCTGTTGGTAATTTTAGGACAAACTCTTTTGGATATATTTTTTAAATCATTACTATGTAATTTAATATAATCCTCCCAATTAATTGATTTTTTTTCCGGTGATATCTAGTTTAAGTAAGGTATTATTCGTTAGATTTTAATTTTAATTTTATAGTATAGATTTTATAGTATAGTTTACCTTTAATGTTTTGTTATTATGTAATCTGTTTCTTACAGTTTTTATTAAATGTGGTGCATCAGTAAAAAAATAAATACGACGTTTTTCATCCATTGGATGATCAATGTAATTTTTT